AAAAACAGAAATGCCACTCGAGTGGATAATATTTCTTTTGTTCCTGAATATGTTTATTTTGAGCCCAACATCTATCTGAGACCAAGACAAAAAGAAAACAGAAGTGCCTCATAGTCGTGCAGTTTTATTTTTTAGTCTTTCTGTGTGGCAGCTTTGTGAGTTTGTGGTCTTCCACCCAACAGATTAGTCAAAACATAAACAGTAGAGGCACGCACACACAGCACACATTCAATGGTACCCTCCGTAGTCTTGTCTCATCATGCTTCAAACCTGCAATTACTTCAACACGGTCATCACACCTAAACAATATTTAAGACAGTAGTAAGCAGTTGTTAAGTGATAACTACATAAATATTTCTCAACGTTTATCTAAACATGAGTAAAATGTACAACAGCCATTATAACTTTTAAAATGGTCATTTTCCAACAGACTTGCTCACGCAGACAACTGGGCATATGAGGGTGGTGAACACGGTGCAGTGTAATATCTTTCTATCGTTTAAACAAAAGATTTCTTACATTTTTTTTATTCAGTTTTTACCCTGCTTTTACAACAGAAGCCTTTCAACAGGAAACTCTTTGAGTTATTTATGGCAAGTAAAACAAAATACCATAATGTGTGGACTATAAGGCGCACCGGATTATAAGGCTCACTATTGATTTTTGAGAAAATTAAATGATTTTAAGTGTGCCTTATAGTCTGAAAAATATGGTACCTTCAACAAACAAAATACCCCAAACTGGTACTATAACTGTTTTATTGTAAAGTAAAAGTATTTTTTTATAACGTGGTGCATAATACCACACAATTAGTCAATGTAAGATACTGTTGAAGGAGAAAAGACAGTTGCAGACAAAAATAAGATTTAGTTCAAGGTGCATCCTATTTGTCTTTTCATTTATGCTATAACAGTTTTTTACCAAACAATAATTACAGTGGTCTACTTTGCCCAGCCGTTGAACTTCTTTTTTAACAAGAGAAAACCAACATTAGATTACTTGTTTCAATTATGTCAAGTTCTCAATTGAGAGATCAAAATCATTTCCCAGCTGGATGAAGATTGCACAACCTCGGTGTCAAAAGACGTATGATCACAACGCTGAGCCCTTGTTAATAACCAAGGAACTGAGCAAAATGCAGAACATGTGGAAGGAAGTTTCAACAATGAGTTGCTTTGTGTTATCAGTGTTTCCTATACGTTATAACCTTAAACAGGTAGAGAACACATGAGCATGTGTTTCAACCCAGACACTCACAACGTACAGGTTTCTTCCACCCAACAAGTAACCTTAAACGTTGAGTCTCTTTTGGTATCAGTTAATCATGCATGAGCCTGTGGAAATTCTGGCAAGTAGGAGCAACACCAACACCCCAGGCCTCTGCTGAAATAAAAGGTCATCATCTATCATAAATGGTTTAAAAAAAATGTATCTTGCAATATTACCCCAGACAAAAGGATGGGCCTTCAGGTTTTTTTTTTTTGTTTTTTTTTTTTGCATATTTGCTATACCTTGTCAATCATTTTCAATCCAGCTCTTGTTTAAATCCATCTTTCAGTTAGAGTTTTTAATGCTTGTCAAGCCACTTCAAAAGACCTATGAATCATTGCATCCATAAAAAGCACCTACACTTGACAAATTAATGAACTGTGTTTAAAAACATATCAGACAAGTTAGGATGGAACCATTTTAATCCAGTCTCTGAGCACATTGTTATTGGCTGCTTGTCACTGCGACTGAATTGCTTTTCATTTCTTTAACTGCTTCCAAGAAAAATGCCAAAATTATAAAAACTTTCACAGGCATGAAACAGTACTTTTTACACCAACAATGGGCTTCCTAAAGTTAACTGAAAACTTGGCCTGAAAAACAATAGATGCATTAAGTGAAGTGCCTAAAAATACAACTGAGGGTCACAGGAAGCTGGCTAACTTCAGTAGTCATAGTGCGAGCGACAGGGTACACCCTGGACAGGTCACCAGTCCATCACAGAACACAGAGAGGCAAACATCCATTTATGATCCAACAAAGTTAAGTCAGGTCCTCTGGACGGTTTCTTTTTTGTGGTTGAAATGTGGTTCATCCACAGGACTTCGTCAGTCTGAGGAGCCACAACTAACTCAGTCCCATAAGTGGCTTACTCGCATAGTGGGCCAACCTGGGGTGTTAGAAGCTTAAAACAATAATTTTGTCATTGAAAACAGAATATAAAATGCCCCTTTTATGTTTTGAACCACTTTGGCTATGGCTGCCTCAGAGGAGTCGACGGGGGAGAGGGCGGACTCCATAAACCACATTATCATCAAAAAACTGGTTGGCTCCTATGCGAGTAAGCCACTTATGGGATTGAGTTTGTTGTGGCTCCTCGGACTGAGGAAGTCCTTTGGATGAAGGACAAAACATTTCAACAAAAAAAGAAACCATCCAGATGACCTGACTTAACTTTGATGGATTATTTACCTGGATTATTGAGCATGAACTTTGATGTTTTAAACCAATTTTGATCTAACTCACAACCGAAGACAAGAATAATCATACCTTGGCATGCATGTTTTTGGACTGCAGGAGGAAAACTGTGAATGTGGAGAAAACTCACACATGCATTGGGAGAGCATGCAAACTCGGCAGCTGGGAGTCAAACCCGTGGCCTTCTTGCTGAGAAGCAGCAGTGCTAACCACCAATGAATGTGCATTGCTTTTGTTACCTAGACACAGACTATAAAAACAAACTAGAAAGTAATATTGAAAAGACAACTTGATTGATGGATGCATTCACTGTTTAAACAGAGTAATCATGTTTCTAAAATGAAATCAGATATTTACTTTATGTGTCAGTGCCTGACTGCAATAATCTCTACCAGAGAAAACTTTCCACAAGCTTGGCACACAGCATCAGCGTGGCCTATAAGAAAGAAGACTTTAAGGAAGTTGTGTACAACTTCGACATGGCCCAAAGATTTCTTCGTGTAATCATCTGCCATTCCAAAACTGGTGAAGAATCAAGTAGAAAGTCCTATCTGATGTGCTCTGCAAGACTGGAACGATACTCTACTGTGTTTTCTGTTTATTTTTGTACATTCCAACTCTTTTTTTTTGTTTTTTACATATTTGTCAAACTGCTGCAGAACTTTTTTAATACTTGGTAATAGGAGCTGCTTTGTTTGCATTTTACCTGCCACAGAAGTGCTAAACTTTAGCTTGAAACCTTTTTCATTCAAACGTATGAAGCAAAGGAAAAAAAACAAGAAGGCAAATCTCAATTTATCTTGCCTAAATATAATTCTTGTCAAGAATAACAAAATAAACTTGATTTTTTTTTATGTTTGTTTTTCTCGCAGTCTCTCAAAATACATAAAAAGCACACAGCGCATGCACACAGCTCAAGTTTTCATCCAACTGTAGGAACAGAGCATTCAGTGCAAGCAACAGAGACCTCCAAAGCTGCATGCAGAGCCATTGGTCTGAATGAAGGATGCATTGAAATGGCTCCTCTTTTCTTCAGTCCTGATCACAAAGGCTCAGTTTCTCATTCAGAAGAAAAGGTCAATAGATAATACGCACAACAACCCCAAGGTCACCAAAGGGTGTGTGTGCACATTTTTTGAGGGGTGGGGGATGCGGGTGTGGTTGTTGTTTTTTTTGTTTTGTTTTGTTTGGGGGGGTGTCATCAAAACATGCATATTTCTAACACTTTGAGTTCTCCACAGTTGCCTTTGCAAGATGCCCATTCAAAACTTAATATGTGCACATACCAGATATGTTCAAAGTGCACATACACACAAATACACACTAGTTCCTGTCTAAACAGTCTGACATCAAGGTACCCCCTCCCGTGTCTCAATTCATTCAGCTACAAGTCCATCTGTACTCTGAAAGTTGCCTTTCTTGTTGGCTCAGCACGAGCAAACATGAGGGAAATGCCCTGAATCAATAAACTGCTTGATCGGTGGGCTGTCAGTACTGAGCTGCTGCAATTGCAACAACTCAGAGAGGGATGGAGGGATTAAATGGAGGGAATGTACTGCAGCCAGTTTCCTGAATGGAACAGACTGAAGCCAGGAAGAAAGTGTACAAGGAAGCCTTGGTGAAGAAAGAGACGCAAGGCAGATGACATTTTATAGAATGTGTCGAACACCTCCAGATGAGCACGTGTTCATATAACTTTTCCAACATGAATTAGTAATGACCTACAAGTGCCAAAAGTGAAGAAATTGCCCGATAAGAAAGGTAGACTGGTATTGTAAGCTAAGATGGATGTGTCACCATGGTGACAGACGAGCCACGCTCTATGACAAAAGAACAAAGAGAACCAAGTAAGTGATCAAGTTACAACATGACCGAAAACTCAAAATAAGTCATTTCGGTTTTGTTAAATTGTCCTAGTGTTTAACTTCAAATAAGAACCACTTCCCAGAATTAAAAAAAAAAAAAACGTCATTGCACTTGCTTGGATTCTGCTTCAGCACTTACACAAGTCTTTCTTTTACAAGCTGTAGTCATTATTAGTGTCATACTGGTTTTACGACTGTGCATGATGTGCTATGTGTCAAATTAAAAAGTCTGAAAGACAAACCCTGTCAGAGATCAGCACATCAGCAGAAACATGATCCCACAGAGCTTCCAAGGCTCTGGGGAGGGGTGGGGGGGGGGGGGGGGCGGTCATGTCAGGCAAGCAGACGACAGGTTATCCGCACACCTGAGACACCTGGCCGTCAGTGCATCACCTTATCGCTAAACCTGTCTGATATGCGTCATGTGGGACTTGCAAGGTTGGGTGAGGTCCCTCTGCAGGCCACCTCTACATCCGCCACTGGATGAATGCAAAACAAACCACCGACTCTTGCGCAACGTGTGCGCAAACATTCAAAAACAACTAGATGGAGAGCGCAAAAAAGCGTTGTGAGAAAAGTTATAGACCGTCTCACTGCTCACGTTGAGTTCTGAGTAGAGGAAAAACCATCAAACAGAAAATAAGTTAGTCCAGAAGGAACAAAAGTTACCAGTTGGTGGAGGACCGAGGGTTGAGGATGTCCTCTTTGGCGGTGAGCAGCGACAGGCTGTAGGTGTCAAGGTTGACCGTTTGCCTGCTCATGATGGCCAACAAAGTGTCCAGACCAGTCCCGCAGCTTCAGTCTCCACAGGTCGTGATGGGGTGGAGGGGCGGTGGTGTTTGTTTCGAGACGGAGGACACCAGCTGGAAGTCGTCCACTGAAGGTCAGCCAGTAAACCTGCGCAGAAAAGTCCGCAGGTTCAGGCGGTGTGCGCACTCCCAGCGTCGGAGAGGAGACTTCGACTGCAGCTCTCTGCTCTTTGTGCAGCTGGGGAGAAGTTTCAGTGCAAAGCCCCACCTCCTGTTGAGAGAGCAGAATGACTTCAGTGGCTGGGTCATTTGGAGGAGATGCGTTCACAGTCCAAGTCAACGCAGATCATAAAGCATCAATACTTCCTCTTTTATACGGATTACAATCCGTGTCCTAAACTCTAATCACAAAGTCCTGACAGTTGTTTTTTACATCATCACTGCACAACGAAAAAAGAAATACCTACATTTGGTTATTTTTCACACAAATACTAGATTGGAATGAAAGCAAATAGGTTTCTTTAGACGTTGCAGCAGTTTGGGGGTCTGACAATCTTTCCTTAATCTCTGTTTGTCTCTGGAATGGCCCCCACTGGCAACTTGGCAGTCTCCAGAAAAGCCAAAGAAGAGCCAATTTCATGGGAACTGAGTCTGAGTCAGGCAGCACAGTGAGGCTGTTCCAGTTTTAAAGAATGTCTGGAGGTCTTTTTAGTAAGTGCCCAACAGTTGACACGCATACACAAACCAACAACAAACACATAGACACCGTGCACACAACTCCTGGATACACAGTTAATGAGCTCCAGCCACACACACTCACATATTAGTGGGTCACTAGTGCAAAGGTTTTATAATCTTGGATTATAGGAAAGTTCCTAAGCTCTTTAATTTGCTTAGCTGCCATTCTTAGACAATCCAGGATAGATGCCAAGGATCAAACTCATGGACTTTCATATTAAGGAGTGACAGACTTTGGTTCACTTGTGTGAAATTTGTTCAGTTAACACAATTTAACAATCACTATTTTGTTCTAAGATTTGATATGGAAACAAAGGGTGAGTATTCTCTGATTGACACACCCACACATTCCCTGATGAGAGAAAAAAAAAAAAAAAAAACACTTGTAAAGTACAAATAAAACACTATGGATGTCCCATGGGGATTTGCATGTTTGCATGTGTGTATGTGCATGTTGGCTACTGGGGATTTTCTCCTCATTTACAGATTTTTTTTTTTTTTTTTTTTTTTTTTTGTCTGGGAGGTTGTTTGCTCAGTTTCCTGCCTTCCTGGCATAGATTAAACTAAAGAAGTGTATGTGACTGAGTGCTGAGTGGCAGAGTGATCCTTAACAACTTCAATAAATCTTCTTTTGTTAAAGTTAATCTCCACTCATGGAGAAAATTATCATTAATTGTTGTGTTGTACTTATGAATGGAACATAACATGAAATGTGAAATTTGCTTTCTTCTCACAGACAAAACAAAACTTCGATCACGCAGTAAAGCCTTTCTGTGTTGACTTGGACACCTCCGCTTTTTTCTGGGGGAGGAACAATGCTTCATTGGCAGGTTTATGAGCTTTCAGGCCTGGTGTGTGGAGCTAAAAGGTCAGAGATGTGTTTGGAGGACATGGGTCATACCTTCAGCTCTACCCTCCTGTTTTGCTGCTTCACTGACAAAATGTTATTATAAGCTCCTTCCACACTGCAAACTTTTAGATGCAAGGAACTGCTTGGCAAAACACGTGTTTTAAAAATAGATAAAATGGTTGTTGCTACAAAACTATACCACTGTACCACCATGTCACATATATGCAAAAGAACCAAACTAAACCATACATTATCATTTCTGCACTTCTTCCTTTTGGGCTCACGGGGGCCACTGGTGCTCACATCCAGCCATCACTGTGCGTGACGTGAGGGACACCCTGGACAGGTCTCCAGTCCATCACAGGGACACATAGAGAGAAACAACCATTCACTCTCTCACTCACACCTGGGGACAATTTAGAGTTACCAATCAGCCTAACATGCATGTTTTTTGATCAGTGGGAGGAAACTGGAATACCTGGAGAAAACCCACCCATGCACGAAGAACATGCAAAATCCACCCAGAAAGGCCCCTGGATTTGATCCGGCGACTGTTTTGCTGAGAGGCGGCAGCTCTACCAGCTGATCCACCGTGCCGCCCACAAAACTTAACCAATGTGCAAAATTCCAGTGAAGATCATTCTTTTAACCCTGAAAAGCAGTGAGGTCCATACATCACTAAGACCTCAGAAAGACATCATTATGAATATGTCATTTATGTTTGATTATGTAAAATAGTTGAGGGGGAACTATGTATTTTTTTTATTGGTCGTGGTGGCTGCCTGTTACAGTATTTATTATTATTAACCTTTATTTAACCAGTCAGATCCCATTGAGATCACAGATCTCTTTTGCAAGGGAGGCCTGAGCCTGAAGGCAGACTAACATGCATGTTTTGCTCTGTGGAATGTAGCCAGAGTCCTCAGAGAAAATCCACGCAAGCACAAGAAGAACATGTAAACTCTACACAGAAAGACCGCAGGTCCAACCCAGGACCCAGGACCTTCTTGCTGTGAGGCAACAGTGCTAACCACTGAGCCGTCTTGCTGCCAATATTTGTATATTAAACAAACTTTGTTTTTTAAACATTTTTAAGCTGTGTACTCAAACCTAAGTTATTGTTTGAACAATGTTGCTAAACTACAGGTAGCAGTTCACGTGTGTGTACATGAAAATTCACGTAGCCATTATTTATGGTTCCATGCTCCTATTTTGATTCTTGTTGACCATAGTGTGGTTGTTTAAAAGCTTTGCAACTTACTCATCTAGTCACATGATGTAATTGCCTGTGTCTGTGTGTGGACTTGTCTGTCCAGAACAATATCTCATGAACAAATTAATTTTATTGAAACTATCTGAATGTAATCAATGGTAAATGGTAAATCGACCTTTCTATCTTATTAAGACACTCAAAGCGCTTTACACTACAATCTGTGTCCTCATTTACCCATTTATACAACACTCTACTAGATCTCTACAAAGATTAATTAAACAAATCATTTTAACAAGATTAATCAGAGCTTTATCACATTCATACACTGCTGGGACACATCGGAGGCTATGAGAGGTTCAGTGTCTTGCCCAGGGACACTCCAACATGTGACTGCTTGTGGATTCAAACCTCCAACTCTTGCATCGGAGGACGACTGCTCTTACCATTCAGCCACAGCCGCCTGTGGCTGAACTTGGAATCAACCTGATTCAGGACGGTCTTTGCAGCTAATCAACATTTAGGGAACACAAAAATCATAATAACCCAGTCAACTTCTAAACGAATGTAAAAGCTGTAACTTGGTCTGCTGGGAGTCATTCCTAATATATTTTAACATCTGACATGAGATCTCTGCTTAAACCTTTGACTTTAATAGTTTGTGCAAACACTTTTAGCAAAAAAAAAAAAAACTGGATACCACTAGATATTTTTTTCTAAAATGTATTAAAGTAATCTTTAGATGAACAACTACAACTTATTATACTTTGGTGTCAACCTGGTTCAAGATAGTCTTCACAGCTAATCAACCTTAGCAAAGCAAAAAAAATGGCCATAACTCTGTCAGTTTTACAAATGCTGAGCTAAAAATGTATTTGCTCATAGCTGAGAGACAGTTAAAACATACTCCAAGCATTAAAAGACCACAAGAATATTTGTGTTTTAAACGCTGGCAGTGCCAAATGGCAGATGACTTGTCATTGCATTGCATACGAACACTTCAGCATCTGGTAAAGCTTTAGGAGCACACATCCTCAAACATGCACATCATGAGAACTTTTTTTTAACTGAGTCACAGCCACTCTGTGTTAAAACAACTTGCTCTTTTGAATTTCCGATTACAAGACTGTTTATAATCCTGTCACAATAAGTCAAATATGTTTTTGTTTATTTAATCTTTAGTGATAAAGTTCAGTCCAGTGTAGGACTGTGACACATGCAGATAATGAAGTGGCTGTGGGAACGCTTCAGAAGTGTTGTTTATGAGCACATACGCCAGCTTCTAATGATTTCTCCATCAAGGGCATCTCATGAACATAATCAGATGCTAAAGCACAATTCCCTAAAAAGACAATTTGCATCGGATTTAAAATTAAGAAGAGAAGGGAATACCAGAGATGCAAAGCAGCTCTGTAAACAAGAGACTTTGAAGTGAAAAATAAGAAAGAGAGCAACATTGTCAGACTTTTTTTTTTTTTTCTGTCTGTGTGTAAGAGAGACGGATAGATGGAGTGAAAGTAAATCAGGGTGTCTTCTCATCAGACTTCCAGGTGAGGTCACTGCTCAGCTATGCGCCTTCACAACCGCCTTGAGATATTGCTCCCTAAGGCCTCAGTGTGCACACACACAAGTATCTCTGTGTATAAATTAGTTGTTTTCAAGCTGAAGTAAAATTCTCCTTCCAGGACACAAAAAATATTATTTTCAAGTGACCTTTTCCTTTTGACTTCATGTGCAAAAGCTTTAAACTTTAAGAATGTTTTACCACCGCTTTTCTACAATGTAGTATACACGATATACGTGAGCATACGGTGTATAACCACTAGAAATGCTTAAGAATTTCACTATACCCACTTAAATGTGCCCCATGATACATGACATATTATTAGGCATGTGTCACTGATATGTTAAACGGCTGTAAAAACACTTCAGTAGCTATCGGTATGCAGCGCGTGTTTATTGCATTGGCGTATCCAGCGAATTATTGTATAACTAATACTTCTGTACTTTCTACTTAATACTTGAACATGTTTGCTTTGATACTGTTTTATAAATTATGTAACATGTTTTTAATACAAAGCCAACTGTTGTACAAAGCTTGGTGTTCATTTATTCAAATATAAGCATCAGAGAAATTTGGAAATGTTCAATATGCTGAAAAATCAAAATAAATTGATGAATACATTGTACTAACCAGTGTACTTTGGTTTCTAAGCACAGTATACGGACTGGCCACTGTAAAGTTAGTTGGACATTGGACATTCACACTCGGTGGATTCAGCGGTGTCCAACGTCCAACGCAAAACTAACTTTACAGCAGTATACCCATTACAAAATGTAGACTGCACCACTGAATGTAACATGTCAGATCATGCAGACATAGACGCCACAAAGTAACCTTTAAAGTTTCAGGTCTCA